TATATATTTTGAGTATGAAAGAACTCATAGAAACATTTAGAGAATCAATAAAAAAATAATAAACACATAATACAATGAAAAGATTCAACATAGCAAATGTACCTCAGATTCACAGAAACAGCATGGAGAATGACGCATGAAGGTATGAAACGCAAATGCCGCGGTTTGGAATAAAGCAAAAAAAAAAACTGCGCTACGTTTGTTCGGCAGTGCACCGATAATGACCAATTTTTCTCGGAGATGGCGTAATGAAGTGGAACTCAGAATGAAAGACATGCCGAGCCCGCCCGGACAGTCGGAATGGCAGTCTAATAAATCGCCAAATTAATGCCACTGAAAAGGCGATCAAGCCAGGTTCGTCGACTGTGAGCTGCACTCCTTCACTTTGCGCCAGCAAAATCTATTCGATGCATATCTGCTAACTGACTCAAAAGTATAAGCTAAAATTGAGCACTTTTCCACCGCACTGCTATAAATTCTTATAAGAAGGACGCCGAAAAAGGTGCCGTGTTCTAGACGCGGAACTTTTGTATAAGGTCAATGCGCCACAAATTCCGCCATATTTTGAGGCGAATTATCAAATTTGATTGAAATAAAAATGACTTAGATATGGTAAAAAGCGCCTGCGACACATCTTGGAATTCCAAATTCTAATTTTTTGGAGAAATATCAGTGGAACGTAATTAAAAAGTGTGACTGAGAGAACAAGGGACGGAGACAGAAACGAACAAGGGAGGGTGCGAGGAGAAAGATCTTACGAAAAGGTCACAGTTCTTCCATTTGTCCATAGGAGCCCAAAATTTTTTTATACAATGCAGAGGCAACAAAACGAGGATATGAATCGCGTTGCATCAGCGTATAGATTTGATTCTGGGCCTCGTCGAAGGTATGCGCAGAGGGATGCACCATGTTGCTGTTAATAATCTCCCTGACCCGTGAATCCAGCGAGACTTCCTTCGGTGACAGGATCGAGATGAAGTCCTCGTAGATTATCCGTGCCTGCAAAATGATCGCAGTGAATCGCGCATGCCTTCACCACGTTACTTGCTCGAAGACGGCTGCTAGCTGCCCCCTTGGGATCTCATAAAATAAGAACTATTATTGTCTTTTCCAAAAAGACCTATTTATTTACAAAAACATTTGAGTATTTCATTATTCTCCAAGCAGCTGCTGTGATATGTTTCAGAATGGATCGCACCCTAGTAGTTCTACAATGGTCTGCTTGCTCCAACGAAACACGTAAAATGTTTACTCTATTATGTGCTAAAAGAAAATCCAGTTTTCGGCGTGTAATGTTTGTGTACTGAACAA